TATAAATACATAAATTTATAATTAATTGATTTTTTTTTATCTATTTTGTTTCGCAGCCGGTTATGCCGTCGGCACCCTGTATGTACCTCAAAGGGAAAAAAAACAGAACCGAAAAACACAACATGGCTAGGTCGAGAATTTAAGCGACACAATCACGGATTTGTAGTGAAATGGCGGTTTATAATTGTTGGTTTTAGAAAATTTAATTTTTTTTTTAATTTTATCGGATATATATTTCCTGAAATTGGAGGCGGAAAATATTTGGAAATATATGGACATGCCTGCAAGTAGGGCCAGGGCATGTGGGGCATATGATGGCACAGTGGAACGTCGATAAGTGGACTGTATATGTTAAATTTTATCGGTTATATATTTCCTGGAATGGGAGGCAGAAAATATATGGACATGCATGCAGGTACGGATATATGTAAGGGCATGTGGGCATATGATGGCACAGTGAAACTTTGATAAGTGGACTGTATAATTGGGGGAACAGAAAAGTTATGTGGTGTAAAAAATGACACTGATTGAGGAAGATAAAAAACAAATTTTACGACAGCGGCGGACTGTTCGGTGAATTTGGAAATTCCAAACCTAATTCACACCGGCTGGCCAATATTAATTATGCCTTCTTTTGTCACCACACAATTTCACTGTTCACTTGCGAATTTTTCGCGGATTAATTGCACCAAAAAAATATGTATGTGCGTATGTATATATGTGGATGCACATATGCCTCGACCGTTGGCAAGCGAATGGATAACGGAGAGGCCGAAAACGGCGAGGAATCTGGGCAGCATACAAAACGGAGACGGATAGAAAAATTTGCAGAATTTTAAGATTATTATAGATTATTAGAAAATCTCAACCTGCCGTTGTGTCGGAAAACTCGGACTTGGAGTTGACACGGAGGGAAAAACAATCTTGCAGCAGTGTGAACGAAATTTAATGTTCGGATCACTGCTGAAGACCGGCAGAGAGATGGAGACGGAAAAATGTACTTATCTTTTGGCGGAACAATGCCGAGAACTGCGGGCAGAAGAAAATCCAGTAATTATCCGGCTCGAAGGAACAATGATTTGTAGGGTTGCCGCAAAAGATTCCAGGAGTAGAAATGTTGAATAAAAAGTCGGGGGCGTCTTCCAGTGAATATAACGCGGTCAGCTTTATTGGGCTGCTTACATCGAATACTGAACTTAAAAACTAGTACAAAAAGAGACGATCGACGACAACCAACGAGCGAGAGAGAGGGCACAGAGGGGCGAGTGTGGATGCGCTTTTCAGCGCGGGTGCGCTCTTTAGCGCGGGTGCGCTCTTTAGCGCGGGTGCGCTCTTTAGCGCGGGTGCGCTCTTCAGCTGAGCGGCACGGCCCCTCACCTAAACACTAATTTTTACATTGAGATGAATTGAATTAGCGTAATATAGTAGCAATAGACTCGCCGGTTTTTGACAGCTTAACCATTTTATGTCGTTTTTTCCGGTCCGAAGCTTCTTTCAAATCTGCATTGGATCGTCAACGGTCAGGATTTTTTGATATTGATTGGGCGCATCTTTACGGAATGAATTCCTTTTCATTCAACCAATCAGATTGATATTGGAGAATTGTCGATTTCATGCGTTTGTAATTTACCCAAAAACGTTACAATCCTTACAATCCTTGACATTTTAGTCTTATCAACAATATAGCTGTTTTTAATAATATTCGTTAATAACCATCAATCAATTATGTTCGCCTTTCAATTTCGCTTTCTTTTTCGCTGCACCATACAATAAAAACATATAAACGTAAGAATTCACACTTATAAGAAGAATCGTTTTAAAGTTTAAGGCAAGGAAATAAACAAAAAATAAACAATAATAAATGAAAAACTTTTAATAAACACAAACTCAAAAGACGAAGATAGAGCAATCGCACACTAAGGACACGGGCGAAAAGAAAGTTTTGTAGTGCAAAACTGACCCTGAAAAAGTTAAGATGGTGTTAAAAATATTATAATTTTAAGCAAATCTGCAAATTTTGTCAAAAAAATTGTACACATTTATTAACTTTAGAGCCAGGCAAGCATTTAGTTATACAACTTAATTGTGCATTTTTGTGGATTAACTACTAAAACTTCACTACTTAAACTTCAGCTTGTGTGTCCCGAAAAGTAGGCGCTATTTGGGGCAAACCAACGGCAACGAAGCATCAGGAAAAGAGCCGGCGACGGTGCAGCAGCAGCGATCATAGCAGCAGGAACGGCCAACAGGAAAGCGGCAGAGCCGAGCGGAACCTAAGAGGAGCAGCAAGGTTCCGGAGCGGAGTCCATTTGGGGAGCTATGAACAATTTTTATTTTGTTTGACGAGGCCTCTAAATAAAGACTTACAACGTTTCATGCTATCTTTATTATTTCTAGCCTCGGGCAATCACGTTTAACTGTAAATTCGGTGGAACAAGCCCACAAACTCTGTGAGCTAGCCGCGCAAATTGTTGGGAGTGGAAAGAAGAAAAACCGTTCATAAAAAAAAAACCCTTTAAGTCAAAAACCGAAACAAAAGGTGGGCTTCTGACGAATTGTTCAAAGTGTTTATAAATGAAACTTAATATTAACATGTAGGAAGCTTTGGTTATGAAAATAGAACACATTTTTTTTGTTTATTGTTTGATAATTTTTTTATTTCAAAAGAATACATACATGCGTAACATTTTCGCACATTTTTGGCAACAGTATGTGTACTCCTAGGTTTAAAATGTTAACTTTGTTTTTTACAATTTATTAATTTTTTGAATATTTTATTTTGTTATTTCACTGGAAACAAAAAGTTATTTTTCTGCGTTTTAATAAAAAAATTACAATAAAAGTAAGCATTGTTAAAATAAGGGGATTGTTCATTTTAATAATTTTTAAAATTTAGACGCTGTCAATACAAACATCTGATTTTTCCGAAACACATTATTCTAGTCTCTAAAATGTTAACTTTTTATTTCACAATTTCTTCATGTTAATATTTTTCCATATTTTTTTTAATACTGTTTCTAATTTAAAGCGAAGCATAAAAATAAAATAATAACGTTACTATTATTCATTGAATTTTTAAAAGCATAAACATACATAAGTATAAGAAACCTAAAACTCGACGTAGAATAGTTCAATTTATTATTTTTATATGTGTATGTATATTATAATATGTTTATTGTTTTACGCTGTTTCTAGTTCATATAAAAACGATCATGTAATTGAATTTTCGCATTTTAGCATTATACAAGGAAAGAACACGTATTAATTAAATATAATCTTGTTAGACTCTTCCAAAGGGTATTTTATCTTTGGTCAAAAGTGTACAATGCAGAGAAGACATCTTCGACCCTATAAAAAATACATGTTCTTAATCAGGATCACCTCCTGAGTCGATATAACATAAGCATGTCCAACTGCCGTTCTGTTTGTCTGTCTGTCTGTTTTTACGTAAACTATTCTCAGTTTAAAATTGACTTAAAACTTTGCAAACATCCTTCTTTCCTTTGCACGCAGTAGGTTACTCGGAACAGCCGGAATCGGCCGACTAAATAGCTCCCATATACATAACTGATGCCATAACTCTGGTGTATTTAAAGTAAGAAACTTGGGATAATGGATGGACCACATTAAAGACTAATTGATTCAACCTAACAAATTTTATAGGCATCGGATGATTTTATCCTATAGATTCCGATCTAAAAGAAGGCTGAACATTTCCTATATTTTTTTTCCAATTTCATAAGCATCGGCTAACGATATACAATATTTGCGAAATATATCCGATCCTAACTGAAAAGGTATAACAACTTTGGCTCCGCCCGGATTCTCAGCAAAAGAATGCAAGTAGCAAACTTTTGTACTCCGGAAAAAAATCTTGAGACATTTAGTGGGAAATCAGAATCAAAAGTCTTTAACTCCTATAAAAATAGTCCCATTAGGCTGATTTTTTCTCTTTGCGGGCGGTTCGGGTCAAAATTTTGACAAAAATTTGTTCTGCGTGGATACCGTAGCAATTCAAGTACTACATCGGGTATCTCCATCTCTTATAGTCACCAAGTTCAAAATTTCAACACGTTAGTACAAGAATTTTTTTTAAATGTCTATAACTCCTCTAAAAATAGGCTCAATAGGCTATAACATTTATATCAGATGTAAATTAGCCATGGAAATAGTTTAACATCAAAACTTTTTCAAAATACCTTCCTTGACCTTGATCAATGGTGATCAAAAATATATATTTTTTTTTGGGGTCGGATATCATTCCCTCTCTGAATAAATACATCCACATGAATTCGATAAACCGTTGTACTCTACGAGTACCGGTTTTGATAATAGATTACACCTTCTAACGGGTACTGAATGTATACATATTTTTAGTATTCAAGTGAATTGAACCGGACACAGCGCGATATTAAAATTAAAGATTTTGGCCTTCTGGAATACCATTGGAAGCTGGATTTAAGTTTGTTTCCGAATTGTACATTCGTAAAAAAAATGGTTTTGACATTAATAAACTTTAGTGTCAAAAATGTACAATGTACTAAAAAATTTTGAATTTAATTTAAAAAAATTAATGGAGATATTTAATTGGGAATAGACTTGATAGAAAGGTCCATGCCTTTATTTTAAAAGTAAAGTTATTGCATTAAAATATTCCATTCCATTTCGCAGATGTTTTGATTTTGCTAGAGCAAGCCAAAACCGACATGTTGTTTGCCAATATTATGAAAATGAAAAATTTATTAGAATCATATTAACACTAAGAAAAGAACTCACCAAATGCTATCGGAAATAAAAAAAAAGGATCAGAAAATGTTTTTGTCTTTAATTTTTTGGCACTAATTGCATACGAACGTACGTTCGCGACCCCAGGAATAGCCCATATGTATACGTTTTTCAGGTATATATATATATATACAGCACTGAGTATATGCATATATATATATATATTATAGAAATAGTTTGGCATCAAAAGTTTTTCAAAAAACTTTCCGTTACTAGCGCTACCGAAATGCATAATTCGTGGGAGCCGGAGGGGTCGTGGCAAACATTTGAAACAAGCTTGAACTGCGAGAGCAATTTAGGAGTCTCCATGCCGAATTCTATACCTCTGTCTCTTATAGTCTCTGAGATCCAAGCGTTCATACGAACAGACGTATCGACTCGGCTGTTGATGCTGATCAAGAATATACATATATACATTATAAAATCGAAGATGATTTTTTGTCTTTTTTACATACATTCACACGACTGCAATATATCCTTGTACTCTACGAGTACGGGGTATAAAAACGACCATTAAAAACTGCACTGAGTTCAGAAATTCAAAAAGTTCGCAAATACGAAGACACATTAAGCTATGTGTCTATATAGGACATCTAGATAACACACAGAAAAAAAAAATTTCCTAACATAAAACAAAAAAAAAACATTTTTTAAATTGACCATTTTGTATTTGAACGGCAGTCCGCGGTGAAGCAAGCAAGTCGAAGAATTAAACATGTTCTATTTACGTTTGATCTGAATTAATGATATTCCAATCGAAAGGTATTGCTTGAATAAGTCAATTTTTTTTCAAAAAAGTGTACAAGTTTGAGAGAAATTTGCGGGCATTGGAATCTCCCAATAAAATACTTTTCTTCAACAACATTCTAATTTACAATACGCGTCAATTGACACCTCCTCCTTTTCTTCTTTTTCTTAGCTGAAAAAATGTTTTTGAGTTTGTCCATCCGTTTGTGAGTTTGTATGTTGGTTTCCTCTGAAGAACAATCTGAAAAAAATAAGTATGTTATTATCATTTTTCAATAAACCCTTTTCAATGAACGTTAAAAAAAAACAGAATAATTATTAATTAATACAATTTTTAATTGTCCAGTTATCTTTTTTCATATAGTACCTGCCGAAAGAACAGTGCTTAAAAAGGTGCCCATCGTATGTGTGAAGGAATTACTTGTACGGGAACATTGAGGCCAGCCTTGAAATGCACTAACCTGGGTGCAACCGACGCGCCCGGATCGATGGCGCCTATGCTAAGGTAAAAGTTGAGGAGAATACTTTCTTTTTGTAGCTCTTCCTGCTTCCGCGAGATAGTTTCTCCGTTTATTTTTCTCCTCTTCACAAAAAGTGGACCGTGTGAAGCAACGGTGAAAGAAGGGGTTTTTTGATCAAGTCATGAAAACAAGATGGCGCTACCATGAAGGGCCCCCCAAACGCAGCCAAGTAACTAGGCGCAGTGGCATACTCGCCGGCGCGACTGGCCTAGTGCTAGATCTTGGTGGCATCCGTATATGATGATAACCATGATGACTCTTAGGCCAATAATCCCAAAACCCCTAACTCACCCCTATCTTCCGCCCGGCCGTGAGCCTAGAATACCATCGGTACAAGTCGTAAGAGGGATATCCCTGCAGGATGAAGAGTCATAACCAGGAAGGTAGCTGGAAAGCTGACTTCATTCCAAGCGGGAAAAGAGCAACTCCTGGGCTGACGGACAGCTGTATTCTGGCACCTAAGAATGCGGAGTGAACTCCCGCTGAAATGGCTTCCAGGCTAATGCAGATTTCGCCCTCGACCAGCTAAAATTTGGCAAGACTCCAGAAAACGCTCCTTAGGCGTCGCCACTAATCTGGCCGTGCAGGCTAATGGACCATACCTAACCAACACAGATCTGGCTCTGAACCCTATACCTCGTAAGGGCGCATGGGTAGTCATGAGATCAAAGACGCGACTGCACAACAACTAAGATCAACGGCTTAAAAGATTGTATTAATACAATAATAGCTTTAAAAAAAAGATGCAAAATAATCAGATCACCCAGCAGCAAGCTGCATGGCTCGACTGGACCCCATCATCATTTCCGGAAGAAGCTGTTACTGAACTAGCAAGATCAATATCAGATTCCTACGACAGCTCCATGCCTACATAGGAGAAATCCGAGCGGATGAGGATCATCAGTATACTGCAGTGGTGGGCAAACTCTCATTTTCCATAGCACGCGTACATAGGGTCAGAAATTCTGCCGCAGCGCTGCCGGCACACTGACAGTGTTAACACCTAGAAATTTTAAACAAGCTCTCTAATTTGTCCTAATTTTGCCTCACTTGAAAGCCCAAACTTAAAAAAAAAAATGTGTTCACTGAGAAAATTTTTTTTCAGAAATTTTGGTTGGAATAAGATTTTTTCATAGAAAAACATAGAAAGGGAAGTGTAGTTTTGCATTTGTTTAAGAACTGTTACTAGAAAAGCTTCAGTTGCTAGAAAAGCATTCGTATAATGGCAGAACCAGGACCGATTAAGGTCCTTAATCACCGATTAATTATCCACCGATTAAGGACTGGTGTGTGCAAGAAGACGTTTTAAAAGTGCAAGAGACACGGAGGAACTGATCATCAGAATGGAGAGATTCAAGGCATCTAAGAGGGCCCGGAAATATGTCTATAAAAGTCAGCTAAAAAATATCTGCAAGTGAAGTCTCTGCTCCCGAAAAAAAGGAAATTATATCAGCGGACAATGAGTAGCCGTTTGCGCCAGTTACAGGCGAGGAGATCTGGAATTACGAAAAAAAATTGACGCTAGAAAGACTTCAGGACTAGACGGAGTTCCAAATGCCTCAGACAGGCCACGCAGAAAATATTCATCATGTCCGGGCATCATGTCCCAACTGCCCAGGAGTAAACGAGGGCCCAGGGCACATCCTCTACAACTGTAAGAGGTATCCTGCCAGAGTTGGATCATTACCAGCTCCAGAGCAGCTTTTACCCTTTAGAAGCAATGGTACTGGGTAAGCCAGTTGATAGCTTATACACAGGGTGACATAAAAATACGTGAAAATAGACGTCGCTTAAGAAAGAATGCCTAGATTAGGCAACCTTTACCCGCGATAACTTGTTGGTGTTTTTAGAGTTAGGAAGTTTTGACTTTCTATGGATATTCTTATTCCGAACGTCTAAAAAACTAAAAAAATACCAACACGTACTACGTCAAAATAGTTTTAAATGTGTGGTTTTATATAACTATCGTATGTATATTGCTTTTTCGTGACAAAAATGAATATCAGATATTTTGATCATGGCAGATATATTTTCGTCACCGTTGTTTAACCTAGTCAAGAGAGTTTTTATTTGAAATAAATTAGAAACAATAAACTTCTAAGCCCATTTTATTATTGAAATTTGTGACTAAATATGAAACTAACTATAGAAGTGAACGCAGGTTTCAATTTTTGGGACTATTTTAAGAATGATACGATAGTTTTTTTAACAAGCCCCGACGTGTCTTTAGCAAATTAGGATATTTACGAGAGAAATTGCAACTTTTCGTTCAAACATTTTTTGATCGATTTTTTGGTTTATTGAATTGGTGTAATTGCTTTTACCATGGTATATGGTATAAAATATTTGATTTGAAAGATTAGTGACACTAAAAAAATAAGGTAGGGTTATAGCCGTGTTTAGTATGATATCTGCTTGTCATCTATGATGTCATCCCCCACACCTTAACTAATCTTTAAAAGTATAAAATTTCACCAAAAACAAGGTTTTTTGTTCCCTGTGTTAATGTATGTAACATAAAAAAGGAATCATTTGAGACCCCATAAAATATATATATTCTTGATCAGCATCAACAGCCGAGTCGATATGGCCATGTCTGTCCGTCTGTCAGCATGAATGTGTGGATTTCAGAGACTATAAGAGATAAAGCTATAGGATTTGGCATGGTGACTCTTACAATGCCCACGCAGTTTCAAAAAACCTTCACGTACTTGCGCTACAGAATTTTGCAATTTGTGGGGGCGGAAGGGGGCATGAAAAATTTAAAACCAACTTCAACTGCGCTGCGTGAGTATTATTAGTGGATATTGGTCTTTATACCAAATTTATGGGGAAATTATTCCTTTATGTTACACACATTCAAACGAAACCCATATACCCTAGCACTCTACGAGTACCGTTTATAAAAAAGAGCAACAACAAGAGCATTTTGCATTGTTAAATAAAAACCCTTGGTTTGGAACCCAGCAGGTCTGCGTATCTCGTGGCTGCCTACAAGGGCTTTGGGCTAATCTATTCAATAACGAACTATTCCTATTCACTAGAACAGGGGTGCCCATACGACAAAGCAAACTGCCATACCAAAGCAAAAAATTACCAATACATTGGAGCGAGAATGGAATGGAAGGCATGTATTTTTATTGAGCGTACAATGCTCACAATGTATTTGTATAGAGCACACAATGCTCTTTAGCACACAATCACGCCCTATACCTATCGGAAGGATATTGGGCTTAAATGGGGTTTGTCTCCGAAAATAGATAAATGGAATAAACTATTATTTAGAAAACTAATTTTTTTCAACTACGGAATAGTTAAAAATAATTTTTCAACTAGTTATAGTTAAAAATAATTAAAATAATTAAAAAATTTCGCTTCTTACGGACCTGACTGACCCAACAAAGATCGCTCTACGCGGTCCAGTAGACTTCGTTTGCAAAGCCGGATAGGACCCCAAGTCACCTAAAGTAGGATAGCCGCATTATCACTCGATTAGACAGAAAAGGAAGCATTCCTTATCTATGCAGTGACTCAAATGGATGCGGGAGGTTGTAACTGGCCACCTGTGTCGCCAACTCAACCTAACCTTACATAACCTAAAAAAAGGAATTAAGAATTACAAATGCCCTAGACTGCTTTTTTCATAAAAGTAGTTATAAAAAAACCACCAACATAATCTCCCATTGAGAAACATTTAATATCGTTCAAAAAGTGGCAAATAATAGCTTAAGTTTTAAAGCTAATTTTAATTTTTTACTAATTTTAATTACCTAATTTTATTATCTCAAGCTGTCACTCAGGTAGCAGTAAAAAAGGTAAGAGAAGTAAAATTCACTTCTTAACGTAAATTAAAAATGATTTTTATAGAAAACTTTCGAAAAGAGACAGTCCCTTCTTGCTTTAAAAACTAAGATTTTGGGATTCTAGCAGCAAGAGCAGCAAGAGAGAGTGATCTTGAAGAGTGTGCCTGTATTGAGAACAGTGATCGAAGTTTCTTGTCCGCAGTAAATCATACCAATAACACAGTGCGACAGTGATTTGGAACTTTTGAAGAGACCTAGTAGGAATGGTTCATAGTATTGAGTATAGTATAAAACCATGTTTGAAATTTTTCAAACACCCTCAAAATCTTGATTTATTTGGAAAAAACGGTTTTTCGGGAATTTTTTGCTCTTAAAAATTCCTAAACGCGTAATTTTAAACCGATTTTAAAATTTTTTGCCGTTTTTCAATAGTTAAATGTTGGAGCTTTTTTTGAAAAAAAATAGACCTTTAATTTATTTCAACAAAAAGTATAAAATTTTTACTCAAGAAACTGACATTTTTGAATTTTTGTAGTGTTTTTCGGACTTTGACGCCATTTTTTCGGTACAACTTCCAAGGAATGGTATCATTTTTGAGACATATCAATATTATCTCGTTAATTCTAAATAAAACGACACCAACTTCATCAGGAAATTATGAAAATTGTTGAAGTTATAACGCTTTTCCCAAAAAAAGTCAGTGCAATTTTACTAGCGCTCCGGAGTAAAAGTGTGTAAAAGAAAGGAATAATGGAAATGGAACGGCACACTATTACTCCGGAACGCTAGCAAGATTGGACTGACTTGTTTTGGGAAAATCGTTATAATTTCATTTGTTTATTTTTATAAATATAAATTTTTTTTGCTAATAACTACTTATAATGAATGGTATTTTACTGTGTTTCAAAACCAAAACCAAAATCAGGAACCGCTTAAATACAATATACCATTGTACTAAGGGATTATGGGTTGTAATAAGCCTTATAATTTTACAAAAATTTAAAAATATTAGATTTGTCACTTGAACCCACAGTTTTACCCACTCTATTAAAAAATCGGTAAATCGAATTTGAAATAAAAATGATATTAGGAATTGAAATGTACGAAAATTGGGAGTTAATGCTTATAATGTAATATATTAATATTTTATTTATTACTATAATTTTAGTTTAATACTTTTGTTTGCAAATATTTTCGCAATTTTTAAACTGATTAAAGAACGGAATTTCCTTCAAATTTCGGAACCAACGGAGTTTATTTCGGAATTGGAACTAAATAGTTATAAATTTTAGTAAACAAAACTGGGAAAAAGAAAAAAATAAATAAAATAGTCCCTTAGATGGTAAAACTTTTTAATAAAAAAAACATGTATCTATAAATGTAAATGCATATTTGCATAGAAGTATATTTATATATCCTTTAATAACACAGTGCGACAAAAAAAAAAATTGGAGGAACTTAAAAAGTGACATAGTAGGAATTGTTTATTAGATATAAATATATCAAATAAATATTTAATTTATTAGCTGTTTGAAATATTTGTAACACCCTCAAAATTTGGATTTATTTAGAAAAAACAGTTTTTCCGGACTTTTTTGAGCTTAACAATTCCTAATCGCGTAATTTTAAACCGATTTAAAATTTTTCAATAGTTAAATGTTTACTAATAGGTAAATGTCAATGTTTAGTAAAGTTAAAAACTTTTACTTAAAAAACTGAGCTTTTTGGCTTTTTTTGTCGTGTTTTTCGGACTTTGTTGGCATTTTTCGGTACAACTTACAAGAAATGGTGTCATTTTTGACACACATCAATATTTTCTTGTTAATCCTGAGTAAAATAAGATCAATTCCATTACAAAATTCTAACGCTTACCCCAAAACAAGTCAGTTCAATCTTGCTGGTGTTCCGGAGCAATAGTTTGTTTTTCCATTGCGCTTATTCCTTTCTATTACACACTGTATCTCCGGAGCGCTGGCAAAATTGCACTGACTTGTTTTGTAAAAAGCGTTATAACTTCAAAGAAAAAATCGATGATTTTCAATATAACATTTTTCTGTTCTGGAAGGCCTATTTCTGGAATTGCCCATATGTAAAGTATGTGTGAAATTAAAAAATTATGAAGTACTTTTAACATTGAATGTACAAACTTAAAGTACTCATTTGCAAACTATTTAATAAATGTTGATTACCTAAATAAAAAATAAAAATAACTCATTACAATCCAAATTTTCATTTTAGAATTCGTAAATTTTCATGTTATTGTGGTGGCCTGCAGCGCCCAGCCGTTGTTCCAGAAAAATCCAAAGCTTTTTGTTCAATAATTGGAATGCGGTCATCGTACAATGTAGGCGCTTGCAAAATAATTCCTGCTGTTCCAGCGAGAACGGCCAATGTAAATATCCACAGAAAAAGTCTGTCCAAAACCATTGCCACGTACTTCCAATCCTCCTTTACCTTTAAAAAGAAATATGCACAAAATAATATTAAAGAGATAAGTTGTAATTTTACCAACAGAATAAAAGTCCTACAAACAAAAAAATTTTTGCAGACTTTTATTTAAACGATCAAAAACAAATTTTGACGAGATTAAATATCGCCGACAAGTAGGCGTGCTACGCCAAAAATAACTGACGTTACCTTTGGTGACGAAAAGTGATACGTGGTGATAGAAGAAGTGGTGACTTATGGTACTTATAAAATTTGGTAAATCGGATCAATTGCTCAAAAATTGAATCTTGAGTTGGGTAATTTCCTTTCAGTTTCTTTAGTTTCAGTTAATATAGTCGGCCGATCCTTATAAAATGACTATAAACAAATAAAATCTATGGAAAATCCGGAATCTCTAAATCTAAAAACAACATAGTTATTAAAATGGCACCTATCAAAAGTTACTAATAGTTACTAAGGAAGTTATCAAAAGTTCCGACCTTTAAAAGCGTCATCTCAAAGACCCACTGTACTATAGAATTTTATGCTTGATGGTAAGGATGGTATGTTTTGGTAGCTTCAACAGTTTTTTAAGTTATACATTTTTTTTAGATTTATTTTTATTTTTTTTTAAATAAATTTTATATTTAATTTTTAAACGTAAATTAAAAAAAAAAATTTAATTTTATAAAAAAAAATTGTTGTAGTGCTTAGATAAAGGTCGATAGTGCCTCAGCCAAACACATTTAATATAACTCAAGGATAACTCTCCTATAACATCCGCACTACTCTGCAGTTGCAGATAAAGTTGCCCATCTGACGCTGACTATTCGCTAAGCAGCCAAATTTTCTATAATCCAAACCATAAGTATAGGATACAAGAGAAAAGTCTATTGGTGGAACTCGGATCTCAATCAACTTCGTGAACAAACTTACAGGCATGAGGAGAAACGGCACATGTCCTCTTGAAACCTACTACCAAACAAAAAATGTAGACTTAAAAACCTATTCAGTAGACTTAATATAATGAAATTCCTTTCTTCTATATCAGTGGGGGGCAAACTCTCTTTTTCCACAGTACGCGTGCATAGGGTAGGAAATTCTGCCGCCCGAAATTGCACGAAACTGCACGAACATAAAAAAAGTCAAACCAGCTAAGGGGCCGTCCATAAATATATGCAATAGCGTGACGCGAATTTCAGACTTTTTTGACCCCCTCCCCCCCCTGCGTGACAAACCATGACACGAGGTTAGACCCCCGTGACCACAAACCGTGACGTTAACCCGGACCCCCTCCCCACCCAGGCGCGTCACGCAATATATGGACGGCCCCTAAGAAACTTTCCAATAGGTATTTCTAGAGAAAAGTCAAGCCTATATAAACAAGAAATGGCTTTTTACAGACTTTTTACAAACTTATCGGTTTCGTAAGACTGCCATTGCAGTAGTCAATTCTAGCAATATTGTACAGTCTTGCGGTATCCTTCCCTATCCTTAATGCGTGTAAAATAGCCCATTTGCACAAAGAGCGTCGCGTGATTTGCACGGACAGTCTCTCCTCAATTGCGTCAAAATTTGAACTCCAAAAACTAAAGAATCAAAGAACCCCCAACCAAGCGTAACTCGCGTTACACAATTGAACAATTTTGAGGGGCAACACATGTTCGAGTACCTGTACCCACTGTAAGCTTCGGTTCTGGAATGTAACAGTAATTAGTGTCACTGTTATATATTCTCGTCGCGACAGCGCGATAAAAATGTCGTTGTCTTAACTTTCACTGATTATAATAAATATAAGCCAAAAATATAAAAAGAAAGAAGGTAAAAAAATTAACTTACTACTTTTATGAGTTTATTTAAACTTGCATTAAATTAATTTGCTACTTTTGTGTGCTTATTTCAACATCTTTTATTGTGACTATTTAGGAAAGAATTGATTTTCAAGGAATGAATTGAATGAATTCCATTGACAAAGATTGGATGGCTACGATAGGATGCGAGGGTAAGCTTATATTTTAAATTGATTGCAGAATAACTCTGAATTTCTTTGGAACATAACTGAACTTACTTTCGTTGAATCCTCTTGCATTTTGGTGTGTTCAGCTATGAAACGCACACAAAAACAACTTTTATGAATTTTGGGTGGACACTTCGAATGAGAAAATGCAGGATTGGTCAACATCGGACTTTTGATTCCAGAAGACATAATATCGATGTCAGGTGAACCTATTTCATCAGAGCTACAATGAGTTAGCGGTGGAAGAGATCCATGCACTTGACAGCTTCCACCAAAAGGTCCATTAGCAGTTAGACTGTAAGGTTTAAAAAAAAATTTAGTATAAGCCTATGATATATGTATGTAAAATTACGTATGTATATATGTATGTATATAAAACTTATACAAATTTATTATATTCTTCTTGGTAAATTCTCCATCTAGTTTTATCACTGATTGCTACTTTTTTCCTTATTTTGGCCGTTACATATTTTCATCATGATAATCCCTTTATTACTTTTTTAATTCTTGCAATTTCATTATAGCAGTTTCCACCGATTAGGCATTTCTGGTCGCCTTGTGCATGAAATACAACAATTAGAAACATGAATCATAATGAAAACACACGTAAAAAAATACTTTAAAGAAGTGATAAGCACAGAATAAATTAACGTACTTGTAATGCATATTAATGGAATTATCGAATAGCCAAAGTTGTCTTCAAGAGTGACGTTTGGTTAAACTTGTAACGTCGGCGTAGGGATTGTTGGGAACGGGAGTGAAGCAGCCTACGTGGCAGTCCTCTCTCATAGTTTGACCATGGCAGGGCCCATTATCCGTGCCCGCGATGGATCATTCTTAGCTTAGGGTTCAGGCTCAGGGCTCGGCAAAAGCGTACCCAACCGGAGCAGTAGACTTTGAAGTAAGAGAAGTGTCTACGACGTTATCTTTTGAAAACACAAGAGATCTTCGAAGTGCGTTTGTGGAACAGCTCGAATAAGCTGTTAATGTAGTAAAGTCAATTGAAGTGATACGGGATTCTCCGATCATTATCCTGTCACATTTTTCGATCTCCGGTATGAGGGGCTTGGCTCCACCAAATGAATGATTGTCCTCGCCTTTGAAACCTTATTAACGCCTTTACAAATACTAAGCCCAGACAACGAGTAAGTAAGAAGCTTCTCTGAGCCAGAATCCAGCCGAAAGAGTTGTTTGCAGTTTTCTATGAACGGAATTGAGAATTTAAGTCAAAATGTTTGAAGATATAATTTAGTTCCATTGTAATCCTTCAGTTTTGTCCAAAAGTGTGCAACTCAGTGAAAGAAACATCTCCGACCCTATAAAGTATATATATTCTTGATCACGATCAGAAGCTCCTAATCCTCCTGAGTGGATATGAGCATGTTCGTCTGTCTGTCTGTCTGTTTCTACGCGAACTAGAAATGACCCAACTTTCGTGTTTTTAAAGATAGAAAGCTGGAACTTAGTTCAGTTTATATTTTTGGTCAAATATATCTTATAGCTGCCATATAACTGAACGATCGGAAATGGTTTTTGGTAGAAATACCAACTTTCGTATTTTTGAAGATAGAAAGTTTCTTCAATTTAGAGAATTTCCACTTAGTTTCAACAAACCCCGTATTGCTTCGCGTGCGCTGTGATATATTTGGAATAAATAATTTGTTTAATTTTAATCCAAGCATAGCTCGGCTCTGCTCCTTCCTTCTTTTTCTCTTGTGCAATAGAGGTTCTTATCTGTATTTTTGTAGTTTTCCTTTGCCCACTCCAATCGCTTTCTTCAAAGCTCCCGCTTCGTCCCTATTCGGCGCAGTGGTTCATAGTACATTGTTTCTAAACTTTTTATATATTTTTTATAAATTTATTTATTAAAATGGAATTTTTTAAAACTTCCACATTTTAGAACCACTTACCTGAAGAGCTAAAATTACAAGTGTGTAGGGGGGCGTTGGTTCCTCAAAAAGATTCCAGAACGGGGTTGAAAAGTGGAAAGTCGGGGGCGTCTTTAGGTTTAGTGTAAAGCACGCGTTCAGCTTTATTCGGCTGCTTACATGAGATTGAAACTTAAAACTAGTGGAAAAAAAAAGAGATCGCCGACAGCCAACGAGCGAGAAGAGAGGCACAGAGGGGCGAGTGTGGACGCGCTCTTCAGCGCGGGTGCGCTCTTCAGCGCGGGTGCGCTCTTTAGCGCGGGTGCGCTCTTCAGCGCGGATGCGCTCTTCAGGTGAGTGGCACCACGGCCCCTCACCTAAACATTCCGCCCCCCTTGCAATCACTCGGGTTGCAATAGCTCCCTCGAAGTTATGGTTGGTGGCAAGCTCCGGATACGATCCATCCAAACACGGTGCTCTGGGCCACTGGGAGTCCGTCCTGGATCTTCAGGAAGCCCGGTTGAATAATCCGTGGGTACATATCTGCACCCAGGACGACGGAGATTGTCGCTGGCAGATGGAATCGCTCATCCGCCAGGGTCACGCCTCGGAAGTGGGCACGCACCGCCTCGCTCAGCTCCCGGGACGGCGTACGAACTCGCACGTGAGGCTCGATCTTGAACATGACCTCCAGCTGAACGCTGTCATCGGTCGTTGACCCCACGGTGGCGGAACACACCTGTTCGTCCCCCACGCTGGTAGTGGGCAGCCGGAAACACGCAGCGAGCGAGGCGTCGATGCAGCTCGAGGGCGTGCATGGGTCGATGAGGGCCCCCGTATCGAAGCTCCGAGTCCCGGTGTCGATCCGCACTAGTGCAGTCGGCAGCACGTTGACGCTGTTCCGTTGCAACAGCGATGAGAGGGTGGGCGCAGCGACCGCGTCCAGCGGGGGCCCTCGACGAGAGGCGGAACTTTGCCTAGGTGCGGATGACGCGGGCGGATGAGCGGGGGTTGGCAATCGAGGAGTGGCGGACGAAGGCCGAGGATGCATCGACGAGTGCCGGGACGTCGGTGGCCGTGGATCGGGTTGGGATTGCCGGAAAGTGGCGGACCCAGGCCGAGGAGCACCCGAACCGCGCCGGGAGTTGGCGGATGACGGCCGGGCGCCAGACGTGACACTCTGTGTCCTGACTCCCGCGCTCCGTGACCGGTGCTCCTCTTGGCGTGCCTTGCGCCGAGCCCGCGGCTTCTCCACGAGATGCAGCAGCGTGTGGTGATCCTGTCCACACGTCTTACAACCGTCACCCCGACGACAGGATCCGTCGGAGTGCTCGTGGGCCAGGCAGCTCGAGCAGTACCGGTTCACAAGAACCGCTCGGAGCCGCTTCTCGGCGCTAAGGCGTAGGAAACGCCGACACTTCTTTAAGGCGTGGATTCCATTGCAGACTCGGCAACGGTAGGATTGGATACCACGAGTACATCTGCTCTCCAGCGATGCTTGGGTGTTGCGTGGACGTGGCGACATCGTGTTGGCTATGGCTGACGGAAATATGATAAAGGAACAAATAACATGATCAGAATCGGTGTAAAATGAAGGTTCGGAACTACGGGCAGAGCTACGGGACAGCACAATTGGACAGGAACATTGGAGCGGAAGAAATGTTGATCACTGTGGGTAGGCGGACGCGTCCAACGGAAGAAGCACGACCTTAACAACGGGCCGCTTTACAAGCCCTCGCGCAGTGCGGATGTCGATCACGCGGACGTGGCCATCAGAGCCGGGATACACCGCGTCAACCCTGCCTAAGAGCCACTCATTGGACGGAAGGTTGTCTTCCTTGATGACGACCATATCCCCAACGCGGAGGTCCCTCGTAGGGGCTCGCCACTTGTTCCTCTTATGGAGCTCCTTGAGATACTCCTCCTTCCACCGGAGCTGAAATTGCTGCTGAAGCGCCTTGAGGTGTTGCCAACGATTGATGATGGAACTGGTGTCCCCCTTTATCTCGGGCTCGACCGTGGCGAGAAGTGGTCCTCCCACAAGAAAGTGCCCGGGTGTAAGAGCTAGCAGGTCAGCAGGGTCTTCGGACATTGGCGCGAGTGGCCGCGAATTCAGGCACGCCTCGATCTTCGCCAGGAGAGTAGCCAGCTCCTCAAAGGTGTATTTTCGCGTGGCGGCGGACTTGTAGAACAAGGTCTTGAAGCTCTTGACCCCTGCTTCCCAAAGGCCCCCCATGTGGGGAGCTCCCGGAGGAATGAAATGCCAGAGAAGCTGCTGGTGACTATAGGCACCAGTCACAGCCCCCTTTAGGCTCTGGAGAAAATCGCGGGATAGTAGAGCAGCTGCTCCCACAAAGGTCTTCCCGTTGTCGGACTGCACTTGACGGGGGCATCCTCTCCGGGACACGAACCGTGCGAAAGCCGCAAGAAATTTCTCGGTCGTAAGGTCCGACGTAGGCTCTAAATGGATGGCCTTAGTGGAGAAACACACAAAACACCAACACATAACCCTTTGTGATGAGACAGGCCCTCCCCGTATAGTTTTTTATCTCGAAGGGACCGGCATAATCCACACCGGTGTGCGTGAACGGGCGCGAGAAGGACGTCCGTTCCTTGGGTAGCTCTCCCATGAGTTGCGTCTGCAACTTCTTCTTGTGGATGACACATACCTTACAAGAATGGACAACAGACTTGACCAAGTTCCTCACCCTTGGAATCCAGAACTTGGCCCGGATCAGGCGGATCATCAGCTGACTGCCACCGTGCAGCGTGATGCGATGTGTAAAATGAACCAGGAGTCGAGACAGCTGACAGTCGTACGGAAGGATAATAGGGTGCCGTTCGTCATAGTGGAGAAGCTCAGAGGACGTGACCCGGCCGCAGGCTCTCATAAGGCCTTGCGAATCCACGAAGGGGTTCAGATTCTGAATCGGACTGGATGCCGATATTGGACGCTTTTCGCTTAAGCAGCCCATCTCAGAGACGAAGTGTCTGCGCTGAGTGACGGAAACTAGAAGACGTTCAGCCGACGTTATCTCATTAGCGGTCAGGTGCTCTTCAAACGAAAGTCGAATCTTCCGCGCGCGCTGGATGAAGCGATTAACATAGGAAAGGACTCGTAATGCCTTGTCGCGTGTGGAAAAACGCTCAAGGAGATCTTCGGGGGGTACTTTCGCGACATGGACCTTGACTGCTCGCTTCTCGAGTTCAGTCACGGGGGTATCATAGCCTTGAGTGGGCCAGTCGCTGCGAGGCCTCTGCAGCCAGTCAGGACCGTGCCACCACAACTGGTTATCTGCCAGATCTTGGAGAGCTACGCCCCGGCTAGCGAGATCCGCAGGGTTATGCTCGGAGCGGACATGTGCCCATTTCTGCACGTCGGTGAACTGGGTGATCTTGGTCACCCGGTTGGCCACGAACGTTGTCC